TATATATATATATATATATATATATGTATATATATATTTATATATATATATATATGTATAGATATATATATATATATATATATATATATGTATATATATATATATATATATATATATATATATATATATATATATATATATATATATATATATATATATATATATATATATATATATATATATATATATATATATATATATATATATATATGTATATATATATATATATATATATATATATATATATATATATATATATATATATATATATATATATATATATATATATATATATATATATATATATATATATATATATATATATATATATATATATATATATATATATATATATATATATATATATATATATATATATATATATATATATATATATATATATATATATATATATATATATATATATATATATATATATATATATATATATATATATATATATATATATATATGTATTTTTTAAGTATATTTTTGGATGGATTATTGTAATAGAATATCATAGAATATTATTAATAATTTAAAAAAGCTTCTTTAATTTTAGTGATGCTAAATTGTGAAGTGATGCAACAATGTGATCATATTGGAAATGAAGGGAATGAAACATTAGTCTTTATTGTCTCTGTGGTATGCACATATCTGTGAACTTACCTCACAGCTCTTTCTGTATTGTGTAGTTTGTATGTTTAGCACAACAACAACAAAAAATATTGAATGAATGATTAAAAAGCCATTGTATTTCATAGGTTGTTTAAAAATGTCATTTAGCATTTTCTGTCATTTAGATAGAATATGCCAAATACCCCCCCCCCCCCTCATTTCCTTTTTTCATGATGTTGAGCAATAAAATACAACTCAGTATTGATTTAAAACATCTATGATGAAACATTAATAACTTTATTTTCCACATAACTAAGTTACACACTGTGTATTTATTTAGTGTCAAGATTCTGTCACTTTCGTCTTGTTCTTTTTTGTTTTGGAGTCCAGACTAAGTCCAGTGTCCAGTCTTGTCCAGCCCTGCTTTTCCCTGTCAGCCCAGTCAAGTTTGTTTTTGTGTCTTAGTTATGTTTTCCCCATTCAGGGTAGTTTTTGTAATCTCTTTGTTTTATTTGTCCCTGCAGTTGAGTCCTCATCCTTCCCCAACCTCAAATCTGACATTTAGTTAGTTTGTGCACATTAAAAAATCATATGTATCTCACGTGATGCACTCTGTGTCAGATCTACACACTGCTTTTTATTAAGGAAAACAAAAAAATGTATTTGACCTCTTAAGGTTGAGAGTTTAGAGTGTGTTTGACCTGCTGATTGGTTCAACCATCGCTCAGATTTTATGCTATGCGTGAAAGCTAAATAAATCTATTTCTGGAGTTAGGTTTCCCTCTCCAAACCCTGATCGGGTGCCTGCGATAGAACCTGCTGAAGACTTTAAACAAAAACATACGGCTCTAATAAATCTGGATCAATGATTTGAATGAGATATCAACATGCTGGATGTTTTCTGGGAGACAGGCTGTAATTATCAGCCATATTTGGTGATGTTAGTTTGCCTCACCCTGAAATGTTTGCAATTCTTGAGTAATGGGGGCCAAATCTCTTCAAGTGTGCGGTTAAATACAGGTAATGAGTAGGCTGAGTTATTTAGAGTAAATGAACAGACCTCCCATGCTCATACTCATTGAAGTCATGTTTATGTTCATATGCTAAATATGTTTCGCCCTTTGCATGTCTCATTTATGCCAATTCACTGTCAATATCCTTTTTATAAAAATAGAAAAAAAAACATTTAATAAAATTTAGTCTTGTGCCCATGTGCTTTCAGAACTTTATTCACAATGTGGTAAGATTTGGTTTAGCTGTCTTCACCAAACATGACACAACAGAAATATTTCAGCCAGTACACTCATTAGAGATAACGTTAGATCGTTAGTGGGTTTACACGAGAATAGCAGGCGCGAATGGAACTCGCAAAAGAAAGTTGAGATCTGAAAAAGCAAACACACACTGAAAAAAATTATTCAAAGATGATTCCTTGAATTTAATCTTTTTTTTTTTTTTTTACGTTAAGGGGTTGTAAACAATTTATTTGGGTTGAATTTAAACAAGCAAATTAATTTGAACATTATTAAATTTAATTTGTTTGTTTAAATTCAACACAAATAAATAGTTTGCAACAGTTCTGCATGCAACACTTTTTTCACTGCAGCAGTCTCTGGTGGATTCACGAAAACAAAAACTGCAAAAAGCATACTTCCTTATTTCACGATCTCATTCATTCATTCATTTTCTTTTTGGCGTAGTCGCCACAGCGGAATGAACCGCCAACTCATCCAGCACATGTTTTACGCAGCGGATGCCCTTCCAGCTGCATCCCATTTCGGGAAAGCATCCATATACACTCAGTCATGCTCATACACTACGGACAATTTAGCCGTCCCAATTCACCTGTACCGCATGTCTTTGGACTGGACTGTGGGGGGAAACCGGATCACCTGGAGGAAACCCACGCGAAGGCAGAGAGAACATGCAAACTCCACACAGAAAGGCCAACTGACCCAGCCAAGACTCGAACCAGCGACTTTCTTGCTGTGAAGCGACAGGACTCCCTAGTGCGCCACTATTTCACGATCACCAGAAATGTATATAGGGGTACATATCAATAATGAGCCTGGGTTGCAAACGAGATAACAGAGGCAGTCCCATGGTCCGAACTATTCAGAATCTGTGACTAGGAAACGAGACAGAATTTGTC